CCCACAGAGATGTGCTGCTGCCAGAGATCCCAGAGCTCCTTTATTAGGCTGCAGAGGGGCCCTGGGCACAGCCCAGCCACATCAGGCTTTTATGGGCTTCAAAGGTCCATAAACCTGAGAAGGTAGGGGATCATACCACAGAAGATGAGACCACAAAACGACCAAGCTGTCAGTTCATCTTCCAGAGCATCCTGGAGTATCTTTCATCCTTGGCTTAGGGACAACTAACAGCTTGGGGATTTCCTAAAATGGAGTTGCACCCTTAGTACCCACCCATGCCTGTATCCAGCAACTTACAAATGCTACATTTTTAGTCCTGCAGTTCTGACCCCTACAATTTCCTGTGCCGATGACTTGTGCAGCTCGAGCAGCCAGCCTGTGAAAAAACACTTCCTGCTTCTTGTTTTAATGTGGCTACCAGATAATTTCAAATGAAGACCTTTTATTTCTTGTGTTACAAGAAGTTGCAAATACTCATTTCCAGAGGCAGCTCCTACCTTCAGGACAGCAGGGTTCATCCCTGCTACAACTAAATAACCCTCAGCAAAATCTTCCTGAACTTCCACTCTTGTGCTAAGATTTTATTTTCTCTCGTGCTAAGAGGGCATGTGCCAGCACCAGGCCCAGCCCCACAGCACACCAGAACAGACAGTGGGCTACAGCTATGCAGACAGTAGCGCATTTACCTCAACAGCCCAAAAGCCACAGACAGGCACATGGTGGACGTAGGATGAGTGCAAAAAAGCAGCGTGTAGGATGAAGTTATAAGGTCCTTCACATCATAGTGGCAATTTTTTTTCCTGTTTTCCAACATAACAACTATATATTCTCATCTTCTTAGTATTATCTCAACAATCAATAAGCTATACTGTTCTGGTTTGGTAAGATGGTATCTTAAATTTCCACTGTTTTATATATACCCCTATATGCACACACACATGTGTACCTAGTACAAATTTTTTTTAAGATCCCTACCAGCTGAAAAGCATTAGAGTTGCCACATCTCTTATCATGGTACTTACAACCTGAATTTTGCTTTATCGCATTGCACTCACCATCCCAAGCTGAAAAGTTCTTGTCCGCAGAGCCTTTCCTTGCATGGAAGCCTCAAACTCTCATGGCCCTTCCCGATACTCTTTGAAAGCCCTTTTTTAAATGAAATCATTGGAACTGTTTGTGCTACTCAGAATGCAGCAGCCATGGATTTATACGGTGGCATAAATATGGTTTCCATTTGCTTCCCAACATTTTTCCACATAATTTCTCACATTCTAATCCCTTTCTCAGCAGTTCTCAAAATAATCAACATCTCAACAGAGTGTACTGTATGCCAAAACACCACACAGTGCAAGCACACATGCACATAAAATTTTTATTAGATTTCAATTGGAAAGCATTTTGCTTATGGAAACAACACTTCATGACATACAGCAAAACTGTAAAGAGCTTCTATATTAAAAAGTTGCTGCCACATTTCTACTTCAGTGGACCACTTTAAAATGTTAATAGTTTTCACAAAGTTCGTTTTCATTGAAATTTGGCATACTGACTCTCAAACCAGGGTATAGGGAAGCTGGTTTGTATTTTTTAACAAAACATTTAATCCAAATGCACAAGGATATTTTCAAGACCTATTTCTAATCCTAGACAGAATACAAAAGCATTTGCTAACATAAAAACACTATCACATCAGCGGTAGATGTTAGAATCTTAAAATCTGGCAAGGACAAAGAAGTTGGTTTTCAGTGGCTCAGTGAAAACAGCTTTTAATTTAGTGTGTGACTTTTAATTATATAACAGTCCTCGCTGACAAAATTAATATATGCCCATGTAAGCAAGTCAGAAACTTCATCGCAGTGTTGGGACACTGACATTGGTCAGACTGTATTCTGGCTCACCTTCCTCCTGAGCTGTCCCTTTTCTACCCGTGCTTGCACATGCACCTTTGCAAACATTACCAGCCAAAATGCCTCCAAGTCAGAGCATCAGAATACCCAGCTGCCTTCCTGTTGCCTTTCTCCTAGACGGTGAACAGTTAGGGTTTCAACAATGTTAAACTGTAAGTGTAAAAATATTTTTTTCCTTTTAGTTGCAGGCTTTGAGGATTGGAGGGAAAGAAGTTGCCTGGGGCAACCCATCAGTTATGTCCGCTTTGAGAAACAAGTCAGTCCCTGAAGTCACTATTGTAGCAGCAAATCCATACTTGTTCACATTCCACTAAATCATAGCGACCACACAGCAACTTCTGATGTCTGCTAAGTGGCACTGAAATCAAATTTCACTCTCTTAACTGAAAGACCATTCCATGTCTTTTCTTGCTAACAGCATCTACTATTAATTTCATTTGTGACCTCTTCCTATTTAATAAAACATAGATGCTTTTCACCTATTATCTCAAATCAATTGACAACAAAATTAAGGGCTTCTGTAATTTTCAAAACCTAAGCAGAAGGAACCAACACTCTAACAGATGAACAAAATTTAAAAGGATCCAAAGAGAATAAATACGCACATTAGGTGAGTGCAGTAGTTGCTGACTTACTATCTCTTTACTCTCCTCTTTGCAGTTTATTTCTTGGATCCTCTCCAAAATGGTCTTCTCAGAAGGTTTAACTGTTGCAGATCCACTGCTGAGTAGGGTAGCAATTTGCTCTTGAAAAGCCACTAAAGAGCTCTGAGCAGTCCTCGCCTCTTCTCTGCTGCTCTTCAAGCTTCCATCCAGCTCACTGGAAAATTTCTTCAGATTGTGCAGCTCCCGCCTTGAGGCATCCAAAGCTTTCTGGTTAGCAGTGAGTTTATCTTGGAGGTTTCTGATCTCCATCTCCAAACTCTGTCTCCCTATTATAGCCCTGTCAAGATCCTAAAATACACAAAAGATTAAACCAGGCTTTTAAAATTTGTTACCACCCCTCCCCTCCACACACAAAGCAGGAAATAACTCAGAAGCAAGGACTGCAGATAGAGAAATTAGGACCCATATTACTTATGTGGGCTCAACATTGGGGCTTCATAGGAGATCTCCCACTGCAATTGATGAAAGCCCAAAGCCAGCTGTTAAACACACTATAGACTAAGCTCTTGCAGCGGCCTGCAAGAAGTAATACATGAATAAAATCTGCAGGTAAACAAACCCCAATTTTTTAGTGTAAAACTATTGCTATCTTATTTTTTCATTTAGATAATATGACTTAGAAAACAAACAGTGAACAACATGCAACCCAAAGCCAAGGCACTACAACTTGGAGGGCAAAGCAAAAGCAAAAACAAAAGCAAAAGCAAAGCAGAAAGAATATTTCAGTTGGAAGGGGCCTACAATGATCATCTAGTCCATTCAGGTCTGACCAAAAGAATACACACAAACTCTTTGAATATAGTGTCAAGAGCAGAATTAGGGTGATCTCTGAGATCAGCTTACCTGAATGTTACAAAAATGCCTGAGATTATTTATACAGAGAAATGGGGAGTGAGGTGCCAAACAAAAAAAGATTATAATGTTAAGGCAGCATAAAAGAAGGTGCAAATGCTCAAATACCAAAGAAATCCTTAGATTGTGAAATACTTAGAAAATTTTTCAAAAAGGGAATTATGCTGCATCATCTTCTGAAGAAAGCAAAATCCCTATTACCACAAGGCCAAATTTGCCCAAGGAATAGAAAAAAAGTCAATTAAGAGCTACGTGTCCTTCCACAGAGCCTACAACTGCCCCCATCTGCTGTGCAGCTGGGCTGTCAGTGTGCAGAAACATGACTGGGTAAGGACGAATGGGATGGCAGCTCTATCTAGTACCCTTGTAACTCTCCCCACCCCCACCCCCC